CAGTCGCTGTTAGTGTTTACCTTAAAGAGAGTTGCATTGTTTCCAGTCGCTGTTAGTGTTTACCTTAAAGAGAGTTGCATCGTTTCCAGTCGCTGTTACAGTACCCGCTGGAGAGGGGAGGTGTTTGCAGTCGGTGAGGTTTGGGGTGCCCAGGACCGCAGGGACCCTCTGCTCGGCCCGGGCAGAGCTGCACCAGGCGCTGTCAGGAGCCCAAGTCGAGTTCTGGCTTGGAGCCTGTCCCTCTCGAGACGATTTCCCCACGCCAGAGCTCGCCGGGGCCACCTTAAAATTTTACACGTGGGGCGTTTTTGTTGATCACAGCCTTAACTTCGGCACACAGAAATAGCAGCGGTGTCGGCAGGCTGGGGAACATGGGCGGCAGAGCCGTGGGTTTATGATTAAGACGACTGTAAACGTGTGAGTTGGGTCAGTGTGCTCAGCGGGTGAAGCCGTGGCCAGGCTGGAACTGGGGCATTGCCTCCTCCACAGACTGGGACTGGGGAGTGCAGGCTGAGTGCTGTGAGTATGAAACTGCATAGGAAGTTTGTCTAAGAATTTACAGTGATTCTCTAAATATTTGTGCTCTCTGCTGGAAAAAAAATGCAGTAAATACAAACAGATGAAACTCGGGAGATTTGTTTTCGATGCTCAGTGTGTTTGGAGAGCAGCCGTGAGAGGGTAAAGTGTTGGCAGCTAATAAAAATTCTGCTTTATTTTTAGCTAGCTTTTGTTTATAAATTGGGGATGTATTTAAAGAATCGTGTGAGGTTTATTTCCAGATTGATGAGTTGCACTTTAAGCTCAGCCTATGCAAAGATGGCAAACGTTGTGTTTTGTGGTGGGGAGGTCTCGTAGCTCCTGGATAATAACAAACCACAGAGACTCTGTCTGGCTCTGGAGCCTTCTGTACCTGCTGTGGGTGATGGACCTGCAGGGAGGGAGGGAGGGAGCTGACTGGGAAAGGTGATAAATGTCCTGCTCAAGCTGTAATTAAAAACCAGGGAACTTTACCTTGCAGGTTTTGTAAACTGGGTCCTTTACCAGTTCTTACGCTGTCTTACTGCTGGGACGGGGACAGAGCTGCAGCATGTGCAGAGCTGTCATGTGCCTGATCCTGAGCTGTGTGCAGGCAGACTCCCCCCTTCCTCCGGGTTTAGCAAAGCTTTAAAATACCTACTTCCTCCTGAGCAGGCAGCAAAACGAGCCAAACAGACCCCGAAAGCAGGCGCAGTGTGTCGGGGACGTGGCACGTGTCGGCTCACGGCGCGTTCTGCATCCCTGGAGCTGCCGGGCCAGGTTCACCGGGCGCAGGGTTCAGACTTTGTGTTTTTAAGCTGTTATTACTGTGTCATTGCTCTGCTGACTGTGCCTGCTTCTAATCTTTTTATAGTTAATGGTAAAGTAATGGATTCCAAAGAATTGCTTAACCCATCGGATCAGGACGAAGCAAGGAAAAATGCGCTCATCAGTACCAAAGGAGGGATCGTGATGGACTTCCATCCACCCTTCAGGGGTGGAGCTACTGTCCAAGCCCCTGTGTCTTCATCTCCTCTCCCCGCGTCTTCTCAGTCCGATTCAGGTCAGCAACCTGCTTTGGCTGACTTTTCAAAAGGATTAGGAAACAATGTGCCTCAGCCAGACCTCTCCAAGGCAGTATCGCTCTCGATGGGACTATACATGGGTGAAACAGACACGAAAGTGATGGGAAATGACCTTGGATTTTCGCACCAGGGCCAAATCGGCATCTCCTCTGGAGAGACGGACTTCAGGCTCCTGGAGGAAAGCATTGCCAGCCTGAACAAGTCCTCGAGCCTGGCGGAGGACGCGAAGGGAGCTGTGTCTTCTGAGGTGCCGCTCGAGCCGGATTTCCCGGGCATGGCTGGCCGCAGCGTCCCTGCAGAGTCAGGAGCTGCAGTCCAAAGCCAGGCTGGCTCCAATGGTGGCACCTTGAAGCTGTTCTCTGAAGACCAAAGCACCCTGGATATCCTCCAGGACCTAGAACTGCCGCCGGTGTCGCCTGGCAAGGAGCCCAATGGGAGCCCGTGGAGGCTGGACCCGTTGCTGGACGATGGTGGTTTGCTGTCCCCCATCTCCGCCGACGACGCTTTCCTCCTGGAGGGCAGTCTGGACGAGGACTGCAAGCCTCCCATTCTGTCTGACACTAAACCTAAAATTAATGACCGTGGTGACCTTTTACCCAGTTCCAAAATGCCAATGCCTCAAGTGAAAACAGAAAAGGAAGACTTCATTGAACTCTGTACTCCTGGCATCAAGCAGGAAAACATGGGCCCACTGTACTGCCAGGCCAGCTTCTCCACGCCGAACCTGCTGGGAACGAAAGTCTCGGCCATCTCCATCCATGGCGTCAGCACCTCTGGGGGACAGATGTACCACTATGATTTGAACACTGCGTCGCTCTCGCAGCAGCAGGATCAGAAACCAATCTTTAATATCATTCCATCTCTTCCTGCCGGGTCAGAAAATTGGAATAGGTGCCAGGGATCGGGGGACGAGGCGCTGGCTCCGCTGGGAACGCTCAACCTCTCGGGCAGACCTGCTTTCTCTAATGGCTATTCAAGGTAATTAGTTTTGGTTGCTCTTTATTAAAACACCACAACTGTGTGCACACTGGATTGTTGCTTGGGTTTGTTCCCTTTTTCCCCCTTTTCCTTTTTGGTATGTGTGGCTGATCAGACGCGTCTGGGAATATTGATTTATCCCACAGTATGATGGGAGCTGTAACCAGCTACTCAACTAGTGGTACTACAGGGGAAAAGGAGTGGAGCTGGCATGCTCTAAAGAGTAAATAAATAAAACTTCCAAGATACAGCCTAGAGGGAAAGTCGAGTAGGTGGTAGCAGGATCCATGCACAGGCAGTATGGAAGGAAGTATTTAAGTGTACACAAAAGCTTCTTCATTCTCAGGGGTTAGAGGATCAATCGCTGTGGCTTTTTTTCCTTCCTAGTGTTACTTAAATATTATGCATAAAAATAACTTGGTTGCTGGGTAAATTTCTAGAATCACTTTTAGGCCGAACTGGAGTTTTTGCTGTGCTCAGTATCACATTTGCCTTACATGGACAAGAAGATTCCGAGTGGGAAACACTAAGCAGCTTGTTCAATAACTGCCTTGAAAGAGATAAGAGTGTTTGCAGGCAGATTGAAACATACCTGGAGTTCAGCTCTAGAGCAGAACAGCAGGGGGTGGGGGAGCTGGTCGGTGCCTACATCAGGTACTTTGGTGGGTGTGTTTCCTACAAGTTTTCCAGAGGTGCAGATACTCCAGTCAAACACTCCTTGAGGAGTGAGCGCTCAGTGGGCAGCTCTGCATGTCTCTGTGCAGCAGAGACAGCTCTGGCTCCAGTGGGAGCTCCCAGGGTGTGTTTTCCTTAGGATTCCAGTGTGAACTCCCAGGTATATGTTTTCCTTAGGATTTCAGTGCGAGCTCCCAGGTGTGTGATCTCCTTAGGATTTCAGTGTGAACTCCCAGGTATATATTTTCCTTAGGATTTCAGTGTGAGCTCCCAGGTGTGTGTTCTCCTTAGGATTTCAGTGTGAGCTCCCAGGTGTGTGTTCTCCTTAGGATTTCAGTGTGAGCTCCCAGGTGTGTGTTCCCCTTAGGATTTCAGTGTGAACTCCCAGGTGTGTGTTTTGCTTATGAGCACTCCGTTGTAGGATTTCAGTGTGAGCTCCCAGGTGTGTGTTCCCCTTAGGATTTCAGTGTGAACTCCCAGGTGTGTGTTTTGCTTATGAGCACTCCGTTGTAGGATTTCAGTGTGAGCTCCCAGGTGTGTGTTTTCCTGAGGATCTCAGTGTGAACACCAGTTGTAGAGTTTTGTTGGGAACACTCAGGTGTATGTTTGGAGTATGAACACCTAGCTGTGTGTTTTCCTCAGCTGTCCTGTGTGCAGCAGCTGCTCACAGGAGCAGTGTTTGGCCTCTGTGGAGGAGGAGGATTCTGCTGGGGGCTCTGTTAGAAAATGGCTCTGCAGGTCCCTACATGTAAACCGGTGTTTGTAGGCTTTTAATGGAGAATCTGGTTTAACTTTCTGGTTTTTGTTGCCCTGCTGGCAATCAGTCCCCGGTGTGTTCCCTGCCAGTCCTGGGGCTCTCCCTGTATGGTGTCTGCCCTGTTTTCTCATGGTTGGAATGAGCTGTGTAAGGATTTCTCCTTTGCTCCAGGCAGACAACTTTTTTTGCTTGCTTTCCTTCTCAGTTTCTTTCACAGATATTGAGTTTTCTCTTGAATATTATGCTTTTTTCCTTGAGGTATTTAAAGCAATTTGTAATGTAAAGGATCCAGAGATGAAAATCAAAATTACTGGGTAAATTCCACTCTGATATACCAATATTGAATATGTCTTATCATTTAGAGAGAGTAAAAATCCTCTGTGCTAACCTTTCCTGTAATCTGTCCAATTCCATGTTGTATTCAGAGTGTTTCATGGGGATTTTTGGGGTGGTTTTTTTTTCTTTTTTACTGTGTTCTCAGTGTATCTCTTATGACAACCACAAAAGCTGTGTCAGAGCACGAAGAAGTGTTTCTGCCATCAGGAGGAGGTTTTCAGGGCCCGTTTCAGTAAGCAGATTCCCCGGAGGTAATGGGAACGTCCCTTTTGCCAGTACTTCCGTGGAGCTGCTGCAGTGGATGTGCTTTACAGAGCTGTGTGGGCAGAGCCCAGTGCATTCACAGGGAAGGGTTTACATGGAGATGTTTGTCCAGCCTTGGGAGTTTTGTAAAGGGCAATGTTCTGTCCTGTGAGTGAGAGTGGAGAGATGGTGAACCACCGAGGGCACTGACATGCACAGTGCTGGGCCGAGCGCGGGAGGAGAGGCTGGTCCAGGACAGGGCAGCGGTGCTGGGTGATGTGGGTGCCCTGTGGAGCAGCTCTGGAGGGAGCCTGTGCTGGGTGAGGGGTGTGGAAGTGCTGCCAGGGGTGTGGAAGTGCTGCCAGGGGTGTGGGATGGCACCATCTGCCTCCCCCACCGCGGAGCGGGACCCGCGCTGAGCCTCAAGTGTTGATGTTCCTGTTTCCTGCAAGGTCCTCTTATATTTTATTGCTTCCTTTTTGCTGTAAGATAATGGATTTTTTTTCCTCTTTGTGGAATGTGTAAAGAATTTTTGAGGCGGCTCCTAGTTGGGGTTCGGTTAAAATTTCGTTATTCACAGCTTTCGTCCTTCCCAAGGATTTTTACACACTGAAATGACAAAGTCCAGTTCTAAAAGCAGCACTGGTTGTGTTTGATTTATTATTTTTATTCCATAACATTTAGGCAGCTCCAACTTCCTTTTACAGTGTTCGAGATCCTGACCAGCCCTTGAAGCAGGAATTCTCCTTCTGCCTGAACCTTGTCAGAAATATTTGGACTAAACTGGGTTAGTTTAAGGTGATGTATTGTGAGTTTGTTTGTTTTTCTTGCAGAAGACTTAACAAAATTGGCATTTGTTTTAGAAACAAAGGAAGGGCTCTCTTGCCAGTTTCAGTGGTCTGGGGTTTTTTTTAGGTGCTAGTTGTGAGAGGTGGAGGCTGAGATTGTGAGAAGCTTCAGGTTCCAATAGAAAGTATTGCTTAGTGTTGCTAGAATTATTTGTCTATTAGTAGCATATTAATTATGGACTGAACATACGAGGAGAAAAGCTGCAGTTCAGTGTCCAGGCCGTGTTTAATCTCCCTGTTTAATAGAAGCCTGGAATGTCTCTCTCTATCCATGCAGGCTGGGATTGATGTCATGCCATTTTTGAGTGGTTTTGCTTCTAAGGATAGCACAGCGTTGCTGGCTTAAGGAGACAAGTGATAATCAGGCCTGAGAAATCTCCTCGGTTCTGCTGGGAGCAGCAGGAGAGATTCTGGAGCTCACAGGCAGAATGCAAACTTCAGGGGTTTGTTTAATGCGAATGAATTGACAATAATCGATGGGTTGCTGTCTGTGGAGGAGTGTGCCAGTGCCTGTGCTGACCTGCAGATCTTGCTGCCTTAGCACTGAGCAGCAGCTCCTCAAACTCCTCGTGCTCAGAGGCTCTGGCTGGTGGCACAGCTTCATCTGGGGTTGCTTTGGTGCTGGCACCCGTCACAGCGAGCGAGGGAGAAGGAAGCTGGAGCAAAGGGGAGGAGAAAATCAGGCTGACTGAGCCAGTTTGCCTTCGATTTTCTTTAATGGCAGTGAGGCAGCAGCTGGAAGAGGAGCAGAAGGGGCTGGAAGCTCTTGGTAACTGCTTCACCGAAGAGCTGGAGGGTTTGCTGGTGCCTGTCTCCGATGGGATGTTCTCTGTTATTTACTGCAGGGAAAACTGTTGTATTTCAAGGAAATGGTTTTAGCAACACACACTCCTAGGGCTCCTGCGTGGAATATACATCAAATCCATCGCTCAGCTCCTTCATTCCTCTGACTTCCTGGAGATGTGGCTGTTTGGGGAGCGAGAGGGACGCGGGGAAGCAGCTCAGCCTGCAGCCAGAACGCTCAGGGCCTGGGCCCCACTGGCAGTGATTCCACTTCTCTTGTTACAGTTGAAACCATTCCTAGTACTTAAGCTTGTGGGGGATAAGGATCATTAAGGAAGTTTAAGAAAGGGCAAGAGCTGAGAGAAGCCATTGAGGAGGAGGAGAGTGTGGGAAGGGGAAAGCTTTGCTGGTCGATCGTGGTCCCAAGCCTCGAATGCAGGACTTATCTTTCTGCCCTCACTCTTTAAGAGGGATTCCTCTGGGCTTCAGGTGTTTCAGCAGG